CACACACTTACACTCAATCTGGTGTGTTAGGACCTATTTATAGGGATAAGAATCTGAGATACTGATAGAAGTATTAATTTGACTTTGGAAGAAAGAATTTTTTTAATTTAAAAAGCAAAGATAAAGAATTCATGGTGTTGACTTAGGAGAATATTTATAAAGACAATAGAATATCCAAAAAATACAATTATATCTTCCAATATTAGTGGATTATTTTTTCTAATTTTCCAGCTTCTGTCTTTCAAGTACTCATCTTTATCTGTCTTATTTTTCATCTGTGGTTTTTATTACTTTTTCTCTAAAGTTTTCTTGTTCACTTTATCTTCTCATTTTCATTTAAAAAATTATTTTATTTTTGGACTTTGTTATTTCATTTTGCTTCATGGCTATCATCATTTATTTGGGTCTTCTTTTTCAGGGTTCAATAACTGATGCTTTCCCCTATTTTGTACTTCAAAAAGTTTTTCAGTGCTCATGACTTACAATATCACCTCCTTTTTTCTTGATTCTGATTTCAGGGAAACATTATGGCAGACAACAAAAAGTATCCCCATTTCACAGAGAATCTTTTGAAAATCTTCAGGCCTTTTTACCCCTGTTCACAGTTAAGATTCCATGACTCCCAACTTCTGTGGTTGCTTCTTCAAAGAAAACTAATGGCATATATGTTATCCTGTCCCTGACTGCTATGGCTAAAATAGCCTTTGATGGCAGTTATAAGATATTTACTATCCAGTCATATTCTTGGGCTGAACTTTTTCCATTTTTCGGAGCTTTCTTTTTCTATCATTTTCTTTTATTAATATTATTCAAATTTTACCATCATTTGAATGAAATGTTAGCAGAATATCTGTGCAAACTATACAGAGTAGGCGGGTACTGATACTGCTTTGTTTTAATTGTGTTTTGTCAATTGGCAAGTCATATTTTGGAATTCTCACATACAAATTTTCCCTTGGGCTACTTCTGACTCAAAATAAAGCAAATTTCAGAAAGTTTCTCTGCCTTAGGTAAATAAAACACATCTCACTAATGATCTATATTACCTTTAAAAAAGAGGTAGGCTGGACTAGGATCTCACATATCAATGTTGAAGTATAAATAGATTTAATTCAGCATATTATATAAGCCAATAGCTTGTTTGCATCTCCCCTCAACCCACCACCTCCAGTAGATGCAAATACCAGAGGAGTCCCAGGCACTAGCATTTCTCAATTTGTTGCATTATTTTTAAATGTCTGGTGTTTTATGATTACAAACTAAAAGCCACAAAATTAAATATATTTTAAACAGGAATAGCTAATAGTCAGATAATATTTCATGGATGTGCTCTCCATGACAACAAATCGTGAAGCAGGGAGTAGCCAGCCCCTAGGTCCATATTTATTCTTGTCTTTCTCTCTCTCTCTCACCTTCTCTCTAGCCAAGGAATTGTGGATATTTTTTACTTTGTGGTAGGAAATAGTTCTTATGCACCATGTATCCTATTCTGTGGCTTACAGTAAAACTCCAAGCACAGTTTTCTAAGTTTTGTGTTTTTTTTATAGTTAATATTTAAAGCCAAGCTTTGCTAATTTAGAAAAAGGTTTTATTCTCCCTGGTGTCTGGCTCTAGAAATTTAAAGCCACATTTTTTTTTTAAGTGGCAGAGTTAAAGCCACATTTTAAAAGCCATTGTTTCTAAAAGAGTTTTCAAGACCAGTTTTGAAAATCAAGAAAGATTTATGTCAATTATTTCTTTTTCTTT